AATGTTGCTGCACATGGTCTGCAAAAAAGGATTCTTGTTAGTCAATGTCGAACTTTTATGAAAAAACAAGATGATTACCTGACTGTAGGAGAGAAAAAACAACTGATCGGCAGTGTAGCGAAGCGAGGGGAGGATCTGCGGTACGGCGTCATTTCCGCTTTTGGCAATAAACTCGCGGAAGGCGAGGTGAGCCACCTTCAACGCGCCAATGTCGGAGTACGTCGCAGAGACGGTTTCATTCGCCTAGGAAAACAGATACAAGGATTAGTCTATCTTTCTTCAATTTCGACAACAATATCTTACCTTAAGCGACTCCGGCTCCAGCCCGGTGAGCACGTCTCTCAAGCAGGCAAGCTTCCGATTGAAGCCTCTATGTGAGGAATGCGACCGATTGGAGGAGAGCCGTCCATCAGGGAGCCCATAATGTAGACCAACCAAATCGAAAGCCTTCAACAGCTGGGCGGCAACCTGGACGCCCAGCCCGCCAAACTGCAACACCGCCGGCTCACTGCTGCTGTAGAAGGGCAGCAGGAGCACCCCAAAGGGGACGTACAGTTTGTTGGCCGCATAGTCGTACCGAACGGCCACCTCGTAGGGCAACACCGGCCAGCTGGTGTCCACGTTCTTCTCGCTGAGCAGCATTTCCATCTTCTTGTGCCGGTGGTCAATCGCCTCGAAGATATTTTCCAGAAACTTCACCTGGACCATGTACTCGTTGTAGTAGGCCACCAGGCGGTCGGTCTTCATGACAAAGTTCGGCTGGCCGACCAGCACCTCCATCGCCTTCAGCTTCATATTCACCAGGCGGGCAGCTTCTTCATTTGCCGGTGATTCCTGTGAAGTCCCACTTGACCAGTCAAAAAGGCTCCCAGAGTGCTTAAGAATGGTCTCGCGAATCGAGTTGACCACGTCATTCTTCGCCTGTACGGTGGCATTGGAAATGTCCGCAATTCGGCCGTTGATGTACAACGAAGCGAGTCCGTAGCCCATAAACTTTGAGGTCGTCTCCAGGCAGAAGCGCCACCGGTGGGCGTCGTCCAGTAGCATCGAGCTGGGCATTCCGAGCAGCGTCTGGCGGAAGTTTCGATGCACCAGGCGGAAGTCCCTGGAGAGGTAGGGCGCATAGGTGCTCACCATGCGCCAGATGAGGTAGTCATTGAGGCCGCGACTGTCCGTGGTGGAGATTACGTTGGAGACGTTGCGGAAGTAGCCCTCAAAGGCGAGCAGGACGCGGGTGTTGTCGTTGAGGCGGGCCTTGCTGAAGAAGCGCTGCAGGACGTCGGTCCACTTGATGGATGGGGCGATTAGTTTTAGCTCGCGAATGGAGAAACGGCGTTTGAAGACACTGGCCGGCGTCAGGTACTCGGCCTTGTCGGGGGTAATCTCTGCAATGCGTTTTTCATAGGCAAAGGTGTTCTCCGCGAATTGGCTAGAGTCGAATTTGGTGCCGCCGAAGATTTTGACCGTCTCTCCCATGTACTGCTTGTAGGCGTCCACTACCTAAAAAATAAGAATAAAGTGTTAAAAATCTTTTAAAAAACGAATCCAAGTAGGAACCTTACACTGCGAAACTTGGGATCAAAGTAGTAGCTGCGGGGCAGGCCCAGCCCGTC